AATCCTCTCTTTCAGGCCTTATTAATAGTTCTCTTTTACGTTTAATTATATATTACCTATAAAAAATAGAAAGTCGAGATTTTCATCTATCAAATGACGTATCGTATAACGTTGTGTTCTGAACAGATAAGAGAACAAGCTTCATTCTCATGGGAAGTTAACAACTAGCTTGGATGAATTTGTAATGGCTCTTGTCATATAGTTAGAAAGCCAAAAACATTTCGAGTTAGGGAAAATTGTCTGTTTTTTGCATGTTATTAGTCTATGTTTTTGGTGCATTATTCAATTAAATAAAAGGTATTTAATGCACTACTACCATTAATATAAAATATGTAGGCTTAAGCATAATCAATAATTGACAGCAAGGAAAAAAAGATTGGATAAGTAATTTATTTCTTGTTTATTCTTTATTTATTATTATAAAAGTAACTGAAATGTAAAAATAGGGATCTTTTTTGGTTAGTTAAGATTAGATTAGGTAAAATAAATAATGATATAATAAAAATGTTTCACAAGGCATGCATCTGAGCAGCACATGGATAATGTAATTCGATAGCATAACATAAGCTGCACATGCCCTCAAAAGGGCACTAAAACAATAAAATTTAATTATATATAGATGTATACTGTTACAAGCTTAACACTACTTAGGATAAACTAATATGGTTTCATGTTACAATTTGAAGTCATTCTAGAAAGAAAAAAAGGGTAATTTAAATTTATTTTGATTATTTTTTGAGGTGGTTACAAGGTCGGTCAAATTGACTGATCCCATTTTGAGATAGGGTAGAGAAAATAACAGATAAAATATGAAGTTTTACTGGAAAAAAAAAGTTTAAAATGTAATTAGGCAGTTTTACGGATTACACAAAGGAAATTTGAGATTTTTGAGGTGAAGAAAAGTATTTTTAATCTTAACATGAAAATTACTTTTCACATGGACTATTCAAAACAAATACTCAATATATTCATGGACAGATCTTTATTTTAGTTTATTAAAAATATTTCACAAAAAATATTAATTTTTTTGTATAAAAAAGACTTATAATGTTAACTGAAAGACTGTCAAATTTTGAGAAGATATACACACAATATTGAAAGTTAGAAGTATTAAATCTATAAAGACTTTAAATGAATACAAAGAGAACACATGGTTGGTCAAATAAGAGACATCCCCCAAACAGGTAACAGAGATTCTAAGTACATAGAATCAAGAAAAAATCTGCCTGATAATAAGCAAAGGCAAACTGAACAAAAGCCTGTGGAGACTCAGATGCAAGAACCCTCTCCCAAAAAGAGATAAAAATGCTCATGAAACAATGTCTGGAGAAGGAGGGGAAAAGTATACTGTGAAATGTGTCTAAAAAAGGCTGAGGTAAGCATAGAAGATTCTGCAGTAGAAGCCCTAATCAAAAGGGGGAAAACTGACAAAATCTAGGTCATCCTAAATGGGTTTGCCAGTTGGAGGAGGAAGGTGAGCAATATTGGGAGTAGGGGTCCTCACAAATTAATTGTAAGAAGTACAAATGATAAAGAATTATGAAAATGAAATCTATATCAATATAATAGTATTGTGTGTTGTTTGTTGTATGTCCATGTAACTACTTTGCAGGGTGTGGATGGATGTTCATTAGGTCCATGCAGGGGTACATACAAATTTTCAGTTTTCCAGTTTATATGCACATATTTGTGTTTTTTACCACTACTTCACCTCCTATGAATTGACCTTCACTAAATTTGGTATGGAGGTTCATTGGGTCCATGGGGATATACATACACATTATCAATTTTGAGTTTTGTGGTTTTTATGGGCATTTTTGCATTTTTTACCACTACTTTGCCACCTGTAAATGGATCTTCACCAAATATGGTAGGGAAGTTCATTGGGTCCATGGGGAAATACATAAAAATATTCAGTTTTGCATTTTGAGGTTTTTATTGGCACTTGCAAATTTTTTACCACTATCTCACCTCCTGTACATGGATCTTCACTAAATTTGATAGGGGGGGGTCATTGGTTCCATGGGGAGATACATACAAATTTTCTGTTTTGCAGTTTATGGGTGGTTTTGCATTTTTTACTACTACCTTGCTTCCTGTAAATGGATCTTCACCAAAACTGGTATGGAGGTTCATTAGGTTCATGCAGGGGTACATACAAATTTTCAATTTTACATTTTGCAGTTTATCTGGGCATTTTTTACCACTACTTCACCTCCTTCGGATGGGTCTTCACCAAATTTGGCATGAAAGTTCATTGGGGTACATAAAAATTTTCAGTTTTGCATTTTTTACCACTGCTTTGCCTCTGTTTGATAGGGAGGTTCAATGAGTTCATGGGGAGATACATGCAAATTTTCAGTTTTATGTTTTGCAGTTTTACCACTACTTTGTCCCCTGTTGATGGATCTTCACCAGGTTTGGCATAAAGGTTTGTTGAGCCCATGCAGAGATACATGAAAATTTGCAGTTTCACATTTTGTGTTTTGCAGTTTTTGCTTTTTTTACAATGACATATAAGGAAAGCAACTTTTCATGTCCTAAGATAAGCTTTCATTAATCATAAATTTACATAACTTCCATTCAGAGAATGGGTACTCCAACTAGCAGTTGATACAATGTAAGTAAGTATGTAGTGAAATAAATGTATGTATAGGATGTTATGTGTTGAAGAAAAGAATATATCTAACCTAATTATCAACTTCCCTGTAAGATGAACAACAGGTAAACTGAAAACAATACACACTTGTTGAGCCAAATCAAACTGTGCAGGACAAAGTATATCACGATCTTATAATTTAAAAACCCTAACCTCACAATAATACGTACAATATCGGGTAAAGTTAGTGCAGACCCTGGCTCCAGGGTTCCACACAAACAAAGTTAATATGAAGAAGTATAAAAGATAAACAATAAAGAAAAAATAAGCAAGTGTGTATTGACAATAACATATGCATAAGATGTAATGTTTTGAAGAAAAAACAATATAGTTAACCCAATTTATGATATACCAGTAATTAAGTGTAATCCTAAAATAATAAAGACCCATGTTAAACGTAATCTAATGTTATAAGACAAAGGATATAACTAGGTTCTAATTTCAAACTTGAATGTAACTATGAGTATTAACCAATCTAACTAAGCTTATGTTATTGAACCCAAATAACTACAGATAATAATATTAACACTAAAAAATTTAAAACCACAACAGTATAATGCCTTATCTTTCCAAAGTTATTGGAATGTATTTTAAAATGTATGGGTCCCCAAACTCAAGTTGAGGCCCAACAAAGGTCAGCTCATTGGATGATCAATCTCTTGACAAAGTAAAGCCGATAACTCCCACAGTCAAGGACTAGCACCTGAAGCCTGTGTATATGTGCTGATAGAAGATATAACCTCCGAAGTGATAACTGAGAATTCAGAATTCATATTCAAAATGAATAACCAAACACAACCATGTTGGCAGAAAGAAATAAAAAGTAAAAAAAAAATTTGTAATGAAGTATGAAGTTCCATAACTGGAGAGAAACATAAAATAATTCCACTTCAGAATAAGTTACAAATATCATTATTGTACAATAAAGAGTAAACTTGGTGAGAGAAATTTATATGAAGATACAAAAAACAAAACACTTGAAGAGAACACAAACTAGACATCTGAACATGAGCACCGCCAAACGAGAAGTGATAATTAGGTAGAATAGCATAGAGTCACGCGGGTTTGTGGCACTACTATTGATGGAGGTTTGTCGTATGATAATTTTCATGTGAGAATCAGTTAAACCATGTGAATCGATGGGTGCATGCAAATAGAGGGCAGCACTGAACAATAATAGCTATATACGTGAGCAGAAGTAAGGTATACCTTGTCAGAATTTTTGTACAACTCTTCCTATTACAATTCACCCAAACACTGGTAATTGCTTTTTTAAGCCATTTATCATAGCAAAACAATATCTAATTCAAGCAGCTTCTGTATAGACCCTAAAGGCCTGAGAATAAATGTCAGAATTTGCACGGCTAAATTTCATGTACAAGGCCAAACAAATTTCAATCTGCTACAAATGCAATGGATGTGGGTGTGATCACTACAGAATATCAGATGCCAAAAAGTTAGCTCACAGAAGTTTTATTCACAGTCCGAAGATAAATGAGGAAAAAGTGGCATAATTTTCTACAGACTTGACAAGTGCAAAAAAGAAATGACAACAGTAGTGGCTAAATGGGCACAGCTTTCATAATCATCTCCTCATGGGAGTCCCAATGATGAGTTATGGTGATTTAATTAGGGTGTCTGGTATGGAGAAAAGCATAGAATATTTTCATAAGAACATACTGACCATAAGCATTAGGTTTGATCCTGAAGATTGAGGAACCCTACCAACACTGCAGCACTAGTAGGGTAGCATGGACACTGTGAAATTCCTCATCTTTCATCCTTTCTAACTTCATGTAGTTGCATAAATCATATATTCTGGATTGCAAGAGAATTGCCTATAATGCACAACTGCATTTAACTGTATTCTTTATTACCAGATTTAACATTTCTCTACCCTATCTAAAACACCTAAATTTGTTCTGTGGTTGAATAGTTTTTATGTTTTTTTGCCAGGTTTACAGGGCATCTGTTTCTCATGAACAACTGAGAAATAGTGTTCAGTCATAGCCAATCAATGAAGGTAAATATTCATCATGTAACTTAATTTTAGACACATGTTGACCAGTACTTATTTTAAACATTTTTTTCATCACTAATTGAAAACATTCTACCTGCTGATTATAAAATCAAACACACACAGCTCAATGCCAACTAATTAACATTTTCTCTGCCTAATAACAAAATATATTTAAGTGTTATGAACACATTTTTATTGACCAAATTACATCACAGTATAATATTTTCCAGTATCATTTAAAAAAATACTGAGTAAAAAGAAGTAAAATTTTACAATAACAGTTTCTTAGAAGAAAAAAAAAGTAAACTGATGAGCACTTACTAGAGCTGCTATTCCCCATGAAGTTTTATTGTATAAGAAGTCCAGGTTGTTCCTCCTCATGTATAGCAGAGCACCAATCAAAGCAAACAGGATGACCAGAGCAATAGTTCCAGAATAGTTTGGTGGACGGAAAACACGGATCTAAAGAGAATAAAGTAGAAGAGTTAGCTCTGGAGAAATGGAAGAAAGAGGTGAATGAATGATAAAAGATTTGTGGTACTTATCTGTACTTCTGTTTTGTGAAGGAGGCTAACATATTGATACACTTTCTTAAACATACACACACTCACAGCATTGTCTTTCAGACAATTACTAATTGGGAAGTCCTCAACTGAATATTTAATTCTACAATACAGAGCACTGACAAGAGCTAAAGACTTATTTCAAACCATAGGCTAAACAAGTTGGGATATGCAACTCAGATAATAAAAACCAACAAAGATTGAGTCAAATAAGCAACTATAGTTCTTTTAAACAAATTTTAATCTTTTTAAACATAATGTGCTGATCCAAGAATACTTGATATTTCTTTACCAGAAGTTAGTGTATCTAAACATTGAGTCAAAAAGACAGCTGAAAGACAATATTTACATACAAGGTTTGATGAGTCAGCCACTCATCTATCAAGCAACAATACAAATATACTTTTTTGAGAGTTCAATACTTACATGACAAAACTTGTTTTGGATATCTTTTTTTACAAATTAATTACTTAATAAAATTAACATGAAATACTTAAACTCAGTGAACATTTTAAAATTGAAATATAACTCTATGGAATAGTCAATAGTTTACACATGTTTATAATGCAGATTATGAACTAAATAAATGCATTAGAAAGTTATAAAACAGTTTAATTTAATATTATAGACCTTATTTAGTGTTTGTTGTGGCTCATGGTTCATTTTTAATTTTCTCGCTGGACTCAGGTGCTGATAGTAACTTCAAAATTTTCTTAATTCTTACTGTGATTCACTGCAAAGGTTAACCAAAGATTGGATAATGTTTAATGTTTTGTTACATTGCTTTTCCATTTGTAGGGTTACCTGTAACTGAAGACATTAAATTATGGAAAATATAGCTTATACTAGATTTTTTAATGAAAATTTTAAGGGAGGCAGGAGGTGAACCAAACAAATTTCAGGAGTGTGACCCACCACTTTTTTGCTTCCCCTTGGTAACACCATTGTGGCAAAGGAAAATCAGCTTCTACTACTCTATTGCATGTTCAAGATTACAAGAATTTGTAACAAATTTCAATCTACTGGTTCTAATATTGAAATTAAGAGTGTGAGCTCAAGCTATGGAGACTTTACCAAACAACAAAGGAGTGTAATCAAATAAAAAACTACAACAGAACTAAAGATGTTCTTCAAACCACAGTCTAAGCTAGGTAGGATATGCTCTGAATCTACACTATATTCAGAACAGTTATTACTATTTTCAATTATTCCACCAATCGATTAATCAAAATTACAATTAGATTGACCGTCACAAAAACAGTCAACTAATCAAAATTAGTTTGTTTTATCATTATTATTATTATTACTATATTTGATTATTCCAAGTATCCAGCCATTGCTTGGCCATCTGTATGTTACTTTGTTATTTATACCTTTTTACTTCCTAGTACCTATAGTAAGTTTTAGGTTATATTGCTCTTAGTAAATATGGAAATTTTAATTATTCAGCTACCAAATAACTTCTAATATTCTGCTAAACCAAATTTATGGAAAAACAATGAAATAGGATAGATACCAAATATTAAACATCACAATCCTTAACAAGATGCTACTTTAGTTTCTGTAAGAATTTTTTCAATGGCCATTGTATATTGTTTTATAAAAGACAAATCCTGTTTTCTGACTAATCACCAACCGAGTGACCAAAACAATGCACCCATGTAGATCAGACAACTGACTAACCTTACTACCTCATCTGAGTGTATGTTCTTTCTTCTATATTTGTAGATCCAAAACATCAACTGAATGATCATGCCTGAATGTTTGTCCATTGTTTTTACATTTGCAGATACAAACTAAATGACTGAAAAATAGAAACTCATCTAAGTATCTGTCCTTTTTAGTATATCTGCTAATCAAGTACCAACTAACTGGACACTAACATCTCACCTAAGTGTCTATTATTTGCATATCAAACACCAACTTACTGACATCTCACCTGAGTGTCTGTTCTTTCTCCTATCCACCTGGCTATTGTTTCTGCAGCAAATCCAATTCTGTAAAATAATTTGACTCCATTCAGCAGAGAACATTGTCTTATGAAGAAACAAATTTGTGATTGATATTTAAAATTCACATTTTTAAAGTAAATACTTTAATATTAAAGCTAAATTTACTCAAATGTTTCTAAAAGAATATTTTGAATTTGAAAGCACATCATTAATGTAAATTATTCGCAAGTTCTTTTATCAAACAGTTCATGTCCATAAACAAGCAATGACCGACTCAAGCAAGCATGAATGTCTTCTCTTGGACAACTATTAATAAGAGTTGTTAATCTATGTTCAGGAACACACCATAGAATAATATAATATATAGTTAATCAAAAAATATAAATATATAAGGTCCATTACATTTACCTTAGAAATTCTATAATGCTTATGAATTCTTTTGACAGAGAGCACATCTTGGAACCTATGCTGAACTTGTAAATGTGGTAGTCTGAGCTGTTAAAATCTGGCTTACTAGCAAGCTCTAAGAGGTTAAACCACTTGCTCAGTTAGCAAGAGAACCTTTATGGTGTGCAAGAGGTCCTCGGGTCGATAGACACCTGAGAAAATTACCACAAGAAAAACTGGCATCCAACATGGGGCCTTCCCATGATCCAGAGATAAGGCCCATATCAATTGTGTTAAACCCCTGAGTGTTTGCTAGTAAGGCACTTTCTAACAAATTAAACTAGCACAGAGATACAGAACACATTTATCAATTCAAGAGATACAGAAGACATCTAAAAACCTATGATGGACTTGGAAAAGAAACATTTATTAAATCCTCTAACACAAAAACATATCTAAAAAGTTACACTGGACTTGGAAATACATAAACATTTATTCTCTAACATAGAACACACCTAAAAATTTAGTAAGGGCTTAAAATATGCCATTTAATCACTTTTCTTTTAACCCTATCTGGACCAGCGAGTAGAGCTAAGCAATTTAATTGCTTACATAAGAGCAGTGATTACATTGTATAAACTAGCTAATTAATCAAAATTATAATTAAATTAATGTCACAAAAATAATCAACTAATCAAAATTAGTGTTTGCAGTTATTATTCCATCAATCTATTAATCAAAATTACAATTAAATTGACTGTCACAAAAATAATCAACTAATCAAAATTAGTTTGTTTTATTATTATTACTATATTTGATTATTTCAACTATTCAAGTAACAGAAATATTGCCATTACGGTTTTTTGTTGTTAAGCACAAAAACTATATAATGGGGAAAAGGAGGTTTGTGATTTGAGTGTATCAAGTTTGGCTCCAATTACCACCAAACTTGCTCTTTATTATTGCAAGGATACTAAGGTTATTGACCATTGTCACTAATTTTGAACTTCTGACTAGAAGAAAAGTAAACAGTTGGCAGCACCCAACACTAGCCCTCTGTTTTTTTGCTTTTTTTTACATTGTTTGTTTCTCATTTATAAATGTGTAACTGTATTTTCTAAGGTTGTATAAGCAGACATGGATCTGTGGGGCTCAAATCCCTATTTTATTTTCAGAAATTAATACAAAACCAGCCAGATGTCCTTACACTTCCATATGTATTAAAAAGAAACACCATATGTCAGTGTTTTTATAACTGGGCCATTAATTGCCATAAATTTTTTTTTTTTTTTTAGGTTTTCTGAAATCACCACAACTTACATATACAACAATCTAGTTAAGGACTCAGCCAGTAACTGATTATTTCTATGTTAATACAATGATATGACCAATAATTGAACATTGCCATGGTAACTTTCATGCCTTGGATTTTTCCAAATACACTGACAATGTATCTACACTTTAGAGATTTGTTTTTATCAAACCAAGTACTGTTTACAACACAAGCAACTCTTATAACATAGACTTGATACAGAATCAATTTCTCATTGTTTAAAAGTTAGAATTATTTTGAGAAAGATGTTTTTCATATTGTTGATGTCTATAATAAGTGAAAATGCAAGTAGTATAAGTAACAACTTTTTGTAAAAAAATTTAAACCAAGCATCATGTTTACCAATGCTATAATTTTTTTTCTAAATATGATCTTAAATAATTCTAAATATTTAATTTTAATTAAAAAATTGGAAATGTTTGTTTCTGTTTTTATTTTCACATGAACCATATTACCAGAAATAAAGATACAAGTCTTCAAATTGCTGGATTATAGCCTAACTTAACTAATCACTTACAAAATATATTAACATTATTTTACCTTTGTTCAATTTATTTAGGTTACTTTAAGAACATATGGTCAACATTGGTTAATCCAAAATACTATATTATTATTATTATTATAGTGGAGGTCTCTTCTTTCATGTAAAAATACTGAACATTTTGTTAAAGTACTATACAGTTTTTAAAAAGTTAACTTGCATTGTACCATTATCATAAAAATTAAATATTACTGCAGCTAGTATGGAGAAGTTAAATAGTGTTCTTAACATAATAATAATATATCATCTGAATAGGCTTTCTAAATTTATTCTTATTCATTCTCTAATGGCTTTCAAACTTTGTATAATAAAATTGTAACTATCAAAAGTTTCATTTTACAAAATAACTTGATGTTATTCAAATTTTTATGTTTTTTGACTTTAGATTTAGGCTACCTGAAGAATTTCAAAAGATACTAGGTTTTTACCTTAGCTAAGTACTCACTTGCCTAATAATTAAAATAAGTTATGGTTATTCTTTCTCTTGGTTAATTACAAAAGTTTGAGTAACTATGTAGTTATAGATACAACACTTAAAGCCCCAACATTTATAAGCTTATACAACAATACAGATATGTTTGGAATAACACAATACTGTTATAACAGATGATTAATAGCAGTAATAAATATTTTACTCATTATAAATGTTAAACAATGCAGTTGCATTGCATATACCATACATTTTTTCATGTACAAAATTTAGGATTAAAAAAAGAAATTTAATTCTAAATTGTCGAAACTTAGTTGCATGGATGGCAACTCTCTGTTGTAGAAACAGAAGTGTAGAGGATGGCATTTCAAAAGTCTTCTGCCTTTTAATCACTTTTCTTTTAACCCTATCTGGACCAGCTAGTAGAGCTTCTTTAGCATGTGAAGATGAAAGGTGGAAGACTTTCAAAACATCATCCTCTATACTTGTGTTTCTACAACAGCCAATTGCCGTCCATTCAACTAAGTTTCATCATGAATACTCTGCCTAAACAATCTATCAAAGATTAATTCTAAATTATTTTGTCTAAAGTCTGAAGACAGGGTTTTCTTTGTTTTTTTGTCACTTTATTAAATATTTTGAGACAAATTTTAAAAGTTAATTTTATATATAATTAATAACCAAAACCATCAGTACTCTGTAAAACTTCATAATTATAAAAACAATTGTACATTTAACAAAAATTTCATTTGTTGCAACCATGGTTTTTCCATGGTGCATCTTGCAACGCCTTTACTGGCAAAACATTGTCACAATAAATAAAATATTTGTGAAATGTACAAATGTCTTTGTTTTTCTTAATCCAATTTTATATGTTAATTCTAACTACACTACTATACTTTTACCTCAGAAAAATTTTAGAATCAATATTTTTTCATTGTCTGACATTTTAGTGTAATTCATGAAGAAAAATAAAACAGAGTTCATATTTTCATTTCTGTACACTTTTTGATTTGTTCCACAATTTTTCTGCCCATCCCAAAGAATAACTTTATGTTTGCAAATAATCTATAACCCTTTACGAATACATTGTTTATTTCTTCATTTTCAATTATTTCCCTTAGTTACTGTTCAACACTTGGTTGCCATGTTATTATGGTGCCACATCAAGTGGTTTTATAATTTACTAATGAAACACAGCTTTAACAACAATTATAGAGAAAGTTTAAATATAATTGAAAAAAGCAAGAATTAAACTATCATATAATAGCAAATATATAGGTTTAAGAGCTTATTTATAGTTCCTTTTTTTTTAAATGTTCCTCTCAGTTGTGAAAATATATGTGTGTTAAATTATATCTGTTTGGAAGCTACAGAAACTTTCTTCAATGAAAAGACATCAGATAACTTAAGATGAGAGTTTAGACAAATTGATTGAGTAACAAAGAAAATTGCAAGTTTTAATACAATAACAAATATACAATGTTTGAAGAAGGTTTTGTCATCACCAAGTACAAACAGTCTACCTATACTCAGATACATATATATAGTAGAAAACAGAGAAGTTACATGACTGAAGATTGCTTAAGACTTGATAAAGGTATTTTATTGATGCTTGGTTCTTTGTTTCAAATTGCAGTATTTCTACTTTTAAATAAATACCCAGATACATATATATAGTAGAAAACAGAGAAGTTACATGACTGAAGATTGCTTAAGACTTGATAAAGGTATTTTATTGATGCTTGGTTCTTTGTTTCAAACTGCAGTATTTCTACTTTTAAATAAATATGCTATAGTTTTGAGTTGCAATGTTTGTAAACATGAGGTTTTTTATTACGTTCACCAAATAAAATTGTCATCAAATCAGATAAGTTTAGTTGAGTTTACTGTTTAGTGAGGTGAATGTAAAGTATTCCAATGATTCAAATCTTTATTGAATATTATTTTTGTTTATCATATTCAAAAATATAAATAAATAAATAAAATAACTGACTACTTAATTGTTTCTAATTGTAATCTGAGATATGCTTTAAATAAAACCATTATTACCCTTACCAATTACAGAAGAACAGTATGAGGCTATTGCATATTTCAAAAATAAACAATGTTGACTAGATAGTGATTGTTTAGTCAACAATTCATTCACCATGTATGAAATGTGCAGATTATCTTCAAAAACAGAACTGTGGGAAAATCTTTTTTAGACAAAAATATATTTCTCACAAAATACACAAACCTTGACCTAGAGAAGAGGTTCATCATATGAAAGCAAGGGTAATCTAAAAATTACTTGAAAACATCAAGGTTAATAATGTTAAAATAATGCAGTTTGAAAAAGTTATGAAACTAGCACACCTCATTTTCTTTTTTGTTTGTAGGGGTGGTGTGTGTGTTGTTGTTACAGGGGGCACATACTAATCAATTAATCAAATGTAACAATTGTAATAGGTCAGTTAGCCCATCAAATAATCTATTAGCAAAGACCACTAATTACCCAACTAAGTCCACACCTGCAATCAAATTTCAAAATTTAAGTCAAAATAAAAATTCTAACTATTTCAAAAATCCTTTTATGACCTAACAGCATGTGAACTAAATATCTGTTATTGAAACTGCTTTCTTTTAAAAATAGCTACAAGTACAATACCAGCTCATAAAATACTTACATGAAAATGAATATGTTAATAACATAAATCAAGTAGAAACTAAAATGGAACTTTCTGATCAAAAATTAAAAAAAAAATTAAATTATAATATGAAAAAAAAGTTTTTAATGTTTTTTTCGCAACAATGTCTCTCAACAAAGTTTTGGAAATTTCATAAAGTAAAGAATTATAGGAAAAGTAAATCAAATTATATGATATTTTAAAGCCAAGAGTAGATACCGGTCAGTACTTTGCTACTAAGTTTGATTAAGTATGCCTACTATGAGAGGGAAAAAAATTAAAGGGTGCCAGTGCCATCCCTTCCACCTTCAAGAGTCTAGAAAGGGTAAACGCACATCATTTTCATTACAGCAGTTATTTCATTACTAATTCTGAACACATGGTCTTAGACCATTAATCTTGTACAAACCTCTGAATGTCCATTACATCTGCTTTTTTTGGTTTTCCCTTCTCTGGAAAGTGAATGAAGACTGGTGCAGAATTCTGCCCAAGCTGTTTAGAAAAAACACAATAATTAACTCATCAACTCGTTTTAAAGACAAATTATATATAGTTCTGTGGGCATTAACAAGTTTGATAATAAGTGATTCCATTCAAACAATGAAAACACTTGATCTTGTATTGAATACATCTTCACTGAAAATAATGAAATATAAGCACTGGTACAGCAAGTAGAAGGTTAGTATTATTCGATGGCTAGTTATGCAAACCTGAACACAACTCACCATGGTAGTTATTTTCAAGTATTCTTATGAAAGATATCTGCCGTTTCTATTTAGAATATATCAACATTCAGTTTAAACATGGATTTTTTTCATAAACACCTCGAAAGCTAATTTGACATAAAAACATTAAATTATTTCTCCCCTAACAAGAATGCTCGCAGTCAACTAGAACATAACCATACAAAAATGTCAAAACTTTTCAGTTAGATTTTTATTTTAAGTTATAATATTTTTTTTCACACGTGAACCATGGATTGTACAATAACATAATGACAGTACTCCACTGTCTAATGACCTATAATGTTGGCCTATAACGCAAAACTAATTACAAATGAAATAACAAACCTACGGACAACATGGGACCAATTGATATGTAAAGGCTATTCTTACAGACCCCCATTGAGAAAGTTAAATCAACCCTTTCCAGGAAATCACAGATTTCTCTTTAAACTCCTGTAAAATGCTAACCCGTACTAATGCCTGCAAAGACTCATTCCATGGGTCAATCACCCAGTTATGAAAATAAAACTATCTTAACTGGAACACAGTCTGTCTTCTCCACAATCTAGTGATTTGTATAAAGAGAGAATTACCTCTTTTGAATTGTAATAAATATGTCTATAAAATTCCATGTTTTACAATTAACAACAGAGAAATACTTCAATGACTTGAGTGACTTATCCATCACTATGGCAAAGGTCTTTTCCTTCAGTCAAGCTATTGAGTCAGTTCTCATCTATATTAAATATGAGAGTTATAATAACCGAAATGCAATATCTGGCACTTACTATAATTAAGGTATTTTTCCAAACATTCGTCCAATTTACTAATTGAACCATGTTACTCTGTAGTGCCTCAACATCCTCAATACACCTTCAAATAACAAGAGTTTAATGTCATCAGCAAAGTTTACTAATTATGCCCTATCCGAATCATCAGTGTAAATACCAAAGACCCAAATACTGACTCCTGAAGTACTCCATTAATAACAAAGGACCTATCTGACCAGACTGAATTAATAATACAAATATTTTTCTTTCTCCCATTCAACCACCCTACAACTCAACTAACCAGTCCATACCAATGTGATTTTCTTAGCTAATCTTTTCAATGATACCTTCACAACAGCTTTTGAAAACTTAAGTACTTAGCCTTTCCTTGAATAAGATAACAAATGATGTTCTAGAAAAAATACAACAGGTTAATAACACAAGATTTCTCTTGGTGAATCCATGTTGAATGTTATTTATAATATCATATTTCACTAAATGATTTCATAGTTTCTTTTATCACTCTAGGAATTTTACCACTACAGAAGTAAGACTAACTGCTCATAGGAGAAGTGTTATGGCAGAATAAGTATGAAACATAAAATATTTGCTAACACTAATAATTTTAATGTTGAAAAAGGGCACCAGTGTAACTCTACACTCCTCCCTTCTCCAAGGTATATGTATAAATAATCAACAATGTTGTTAAAAGTTGCGATTGACAATAAAACTCTTTTTAACTTTTAGTTACAGCTGAAGGTTCATATCTATCTTCTAATCAAACTGTTAGTATTACTCTGTTGTGTTTATTAAGTATGAATTAATCCAAAATTTTATGTTAAAATAACTGACTATTAATCTGCTTGGAACAGTGACTGTTAAATAAAGATTTATTTTGTTTAAGTCTGCTACAGTTCTTTTAACTGGCCACCACAACAGGGTGCTTTTGCAATACAAGTTTAATGTATAAGCTGTACATATGAGTATCAAACATATCATCAAATATCAATGAAGATTTAAGCAATATTCTTCATCTTGAACAGTTGATAGATGGAAACAAGATTGAACAAGATGATCACATATTCTGAGCTTTTTAAGAAAAATTGGTAAGTTCAATGAATGCTAAAGCTCCTGGGCTAGATAATATTTTCCCAAAGGTTTTGAAGGTGGTTAAGGATTGGATATGTGGGCTATTATTGAATAGTGGGAAAGTGCCAGAGGATTGGGAGTTGGCTAATATTGCTCTTTTCAAGGGAGGTGATAAAAATCGTCCCAGTAGTTACAGACCTATTAGTTTACATCAGTTGTGGGAAAAGTTTTGGGAAGTCTGATAAAAGATGCTTTGCAAAATCATCTATAAAGTTTAGAATTTTATTATATAATCAACATGGTTTTGCTAAGAGAAAATCTTCCCTTACAAATGTTTTGACATTATTTGACAAAGTTACTGCTTATGTAGGTGAGGGTAAAAGTGTAGATTTGGTGTATCTGGATTATCAGAAAGTATTTGACAATGTGTCACATAACAGGCTTGTAAATAAAAAATTATCCCTATAGGTGTGGGGGATAAGTTAGCTAATTGGATAGAAGAATGACTGGATGGAAGAAAGCAGAGGGTTGTTACAAAGGAGTTCAGTCAAACTGGATTAATGTCACAAATGGGATACCTCAGGATTCAGTCTTAAGACCTTTGCTCTTTTTGATTTACATCAATGACATAGATGAAGGAATGGTCAATAAGTTACATAAATTTGCTGACAATATTAAGGTCTTAGGTGTTGCTGGCTATGAGGATGCTGCTGATTTACAACAGGATTTAGATCATTTAGTGAGTTGGGAAAATAAATGGCAGATAGGTTTTAATTATAATAAATGCAAGATAATGCATGTGGGTTATCACAATTTTAATTATAAGTATAATTTGGATGGGCATAACCTTAACAGTGTCATGAAAGAAAGGGATCTTGGTGTAGTGGTTGATGTGTCTCTTAAGCCATCCAAACAATGTTCTGTTGCTAGTGGAAGGGCAAATAGTATTTTGGGATGTATCTACAGAAATATTGAATAGAAGTCTAAGGAGGTTATCATTTCATTGTACAAGTCATTGATTAGGCCACATTTGTAGTACAGTAAACCCTCCTACAACGTGGGTTCGTCCAACACAGATTCGCTTATACACGCAAAGATAAAAGCAACCAATTCTCTGCTGAACATAGAAAATTCGATTATGCGTGGTTCACCCAACACGCAAGCATATGAGCACTCTAGATCATTCTAACTCTCTCAATATGGGCTGAGTCAATTTCACTGACCACGTCTCCTTTTTGTACTTGTTTAAAGTCTTTATAGATTTAATACTTCTAACTTTCAATATTGTATGTATATCTTCACGAAATCTGGCAGTCTTTCAGCTAACATTATAAGTCTTTCACATACAAAAAGTATTTTTAATAAACTAAAATAAAGATTTGTCCATGAATATATTTGTTTTGAATAGTCTGTGTGCAAAGTAATTTTCATGTTAGGATTAAAAATACTTTTCTTCATCTCAAAAATCTCATATTTCGTTTGTGTAATCCCTAAAACCTTATAAATACATTTCAAACGTTTTTTTTCCTGTAAAACTTTATATTTTATCTGTTATTTTCTCTACTCTATTTCTATGTGGGATTGGTCAATTTGACTGACCTCATAACCACCAAAAAATAAATAAAAAATAAAAATAGATCGAAATTACCTTTTTTCTTTCTAGAATGACTTCAAATTGTAACATGAAACTACACATGTTTATCCTAAGTAGCTTTAACTCATAACAGTATACATCTATTTATAATTACATTTTATAATTAAATAAAGAACATAGACTAATAACATGCAAAAAGTAGACAATTTCCCCTAACTCAAAACTTTTCTGGCTTTCTAACTATGCGACAAGAGCCATTACAAGTTCTTCCAAGCTAGTCGATAATGTTCCCACTGGAATAAACCGTGAATTATATAAGTGAAATTGACATTATCTGTTCAGAACACAATATAATATAATATGTCATTTGACAGATGCAAGCATTGACTTTCTATTGGTTATAGATGATATGTAATTAAATGTAAGACAGAACTATTTACAAATCCTGAAAGAGGGGATGTGACAGGTGGGTGTGGCAGGAGGGGACTGATTTTCTATTTGATAGCTCTGTAAGCAAACAAAATTGAAGGCTATAAAAATTATGGTTTCTCTTAGCAATGACAATTTTGTAGTGAGTAATTTATGTTTCATTTCATCGTTATTAGGGTGTGTGTGTGGGGGTGATAAAATAGAATAGAGAAGATACCTAGAAAAAATGCATCATGTGTGTAACACTAAGGGAAATTCAGGATTTTTTTAAACATTGCCTAATAGAATTAAGAACTTAAAACTTATATACTATTAAAATATGTATTATTAGCTAAGATTTTATACAATGCTAATTGGTATAACATGAACAAAGAGTAGTTTAGTAAAAATTTTGAATGGGAGACATAAAAATCTTGTGACATGCACAGTAAAGGATACCAGTAAGGATAAAATAAACAATCTCCAGCTTCCTGAGCTTCACTCCATCCCCACCATATTTAAATGATCGGGCTAAGTTCAGTGCCATATAGTCAATTTATTTCTGCCATTTTTTGCTGCTTTTCTTAATTACCCTTAGAGAGCAGTATAGAATCAAAACGTAAAGCATCTCCAAGTGTTAGTGAGGCAAAGAAAAGCCAAAACGTTAGGATAGTAGCTGAGAAAATTCAGATCCATGATAAGTTTCAAAGCAGGATGAATGTAGCATTCATAGGCCAGAAATAGGGTGTGAATAAGTATTCCATACATATGATTATGAGTGAAGAGAAAATCCGTGCAAGTGCTAAGGTTTCTCAAGTGCCCAGGAGGTATCCGTTCATGAAAAAAATGGAGAAATTATTGAATGTGTAGATCAGTGAACAAGTGAAAAAAAAAGGCTCTGTTGTT